GTTTTCAACCTGTGGGTCGCGACCCCTTTGGGAGAGGTCAAATGACCCTTTCATAGGGGTCACCTAAGACCATCGGAAAACATATTTCTGATGGTTTTAGGAACTGAGACACCGCTCTGCTGTCTCCAGGCGGGGCCGCCCACATGTAGATATGCCCACCTACGAGTACCCGGCGTGAAGACTGTTACCCATGCTACACCATGCTTCAAGACAAAATTTCATTTGTTATTAGAAATAAATATTTCACAATATATAATGACATTGTTTTTGTGATTAGTTGCTATGCTTGAATTATGTTGAATTTGTCACAATGAAAATACATTCTGCATATCAGATATTTACATGATGATTCATAACAGTAGCAAAATTACAGTTATGAAGTAGCAATGAAAATAATTTTATGGTGGTGGGGGGGCATCACCAAAACATGAGGAACTGTATTAAAAGGTCGTGGCATTAGGAAGGTTGAGAACCACTGGGCCAAGCATAAGCAAGGGTAAGGTGACCAGACGTCCCGCTTTGGGCCGGGACAGTCCTGATTTTGAACAATTTTTCCTGCATCCCGCAGCGTTTTTAAAAAGTCCCGATTTTTGGAAAGAATGCACCACAAGCTAGGGTAGACAGTTTTCAGCTGCCATGTGGCTATTTCACCAGGATATGAGTTTTATCAACAGTGCCCCGCTTTACCAATGCTAGAATCTGGTTACCTTAAGCAAGGGAAACCATTGGCCAGGGAGTTGGGCTCTGGCTTCCAATGCAGCTACACACACCACACACACACACACACACACACACACAGTTCCATCAGGATCTACACCAGAAATGGCAAACACAGTGCCTTTAGGGCTCAAGCGAGTGATATCAACCCTGAAGCATGCGCAGTGCCTGGCACAGTAGCGAGCAGAGGTCATAGGACAACCTGGAGAGCACACAGCTCCCTGCAGAGGTTGGGAAGTTCATCGTTCTAGCTGGCCCAGATCCCTCCCGCTTTAAGTCTGCATCCACGAGGAAGGAGACACGCAGAAGAGAGAAAGTCCCATGTCCTGTCTTGTTTGCCTCACCCCTACCTGGAGCCCAGGTTGGCAGACAGGTGGGCTCTCCGCCCTCTGTCTAAAAGGTGGCTCCTGGGAGCCCTCACAAGCTAGGCCACAGCGCAGCTTGACACAGGGCTGTGTTGGTCAAGTGCCATCGCTAGCCTAAAGCAGAGGGGGGGAAGAGAAGGGGCAATGAGGGCTGACAGTCTGACTTGGCACTTGGCACTTGGCACAAGACTGTCGCTGTGGGCCTCTCCTGCCTTGCCTGCCTCCCTGAGCTGCTTACCCATGTGGGCCACAAGGAGGGGGAGGAACAGTGTTCCCATCTCCCAGAAAGAGCCTTCCCTTTGCCCAAGCACTCATCTCAGAGCTCCTGGGAATGGGCCACATCTTCTTTCCGAAGCCCTGGTGGTGCTGAGGTGAGGTTTCATACCCACCAGCCCTCCACGGGAGAAAGGCAGGGCTGTGTGCGCGGTAAAGATCGGAGAGCCCTATCTAGGGCCGCTCTGAGTGGAAATGGATTTGGCGGCAGTGGTCTTGCCAGGGCCTGTGTGGTTGGGGAATGAGCTGGCCTCCTGCTTGCAGCCCCCCAAGACTCCAGAATCAGTTACTGTGTTAGCTGAGGCCCACCTGTCGAGTTGTAGTGCCATCAGCAATTACTGATGCTTCATTAGAGCCCAATTAATACATGAAGCCCAGGGTAAGAAGCCCATTGCTTTGCTGGGAGGAACAGCCACGCTCCGGCCACAAGTGGCAGCCTCCTGGGTGGAACAACAAAACAAACCCACTGCTTGGAGTCAATTCTGACTCTCAGAGAAGCTGTGGGACAGGGGCTTTCTGAGACTGGGATTAGACAGCCTCATCTTTCTCCTGCAGAGCGCCTAGTGGTTTTGAACTGCTGACTTTTAGGTTAGCAGTCCAACTCTTAACCACTCCATCCCCAAGGCACCTGCCCCTGGGGTGAGAGATGAGGGAAGAGTGGGGAGTGGCTCCCTCCTCTTCTCTGAATCCGCCCCCCCACCCACTCCACCCCTCGAAGCAGCTGCCCTAGGAAACTAGAAAGCCCATTTGCTCTTAGTTGTGACCTTGAAAAAAGTAAGCGAAGTCCTTCCAGTTCCCTCCCTCCCACTCACAGCTGGGTCTGGGCCTGGCCCCCAGCGGCTCCCAGGGTGGGAACCCCCACCATGCCTGACTATACCTGCCCTTTGTCAAGTGCACACATCCCCTTTGAACACCTGGGGGGAGGAGAGAAGACATTTTCTGGCAGCTGATCTGTGCCTCCGAACCCCCGTTCCACCCAGGCAGAGCCGCATAAAGTCTTAATGCCAAGGCCATGGGCACTTCCATCAGCTGCTCCTGGAGCTACAGTGTAGAGCCAGAGCAGGACTTAGGGGGAGGGGGGGAGTGCAAGCCCTGGAGAGACCCCTGAACTCTGGTCCTGTAACAGGAACCTGTCTGGGCCAGGGGTCTCAGCACCCTAGGTGCTCAGCCGAGGGCCATGTACTGGGGGCTGGGAGCAAGGTGAGCTGTCACCTTCCCCTATTCTGTGAGGACCCCCAGGCCCCGCTTTCTCTGTTTTCTAGAGGAAGCAGCCATGCCGGGAAATGCCATTACCCTGACAGCTTCCTCCACCTGCTAAAAGCTGCTTCCTTCCCCAGTGGCCTCGCCCCGCCCAAGCGATGTCATCTCCACTCACCTCCACTGGCCACTATGG